CAGCATTTAATAACAGGCCATGGGGGGCACACTACAACAGTTCCCCATCACATCTGCAGCCAGTTAGCACAAAGTCGGTGATTTACAACAACACTCATGGTCTCGCAGCTCTGGGGGCCAGGAGTCTCGCCGGACTCCAGGCCGGGGCTGACAGTGGCGTCCCTTCTGGAAGCCGAGGGAGATCTGCCCCCTGGCCCTCCCGGCTCCTGCACACGGCCTCCATGTCCGGGCTCATGGCCGGGGCTGGCAGAGCCAAGCCCCTCCTGGAAGCCTGTGGGGAGCAACCCGGACTAGACTAAGTTACTGGAATTAAGACTTATTCTATGCATCTGCTCTCCCACAATATGGCGCTGAGAAGGGAGAAACAGCTTCTACACAGCTGCCTCCAGTTCAACCAATAAACTGTAGGACCTGCTCCTGATTGGAGGAGAGCAGCGTACTCGGCGTGTGGGTAGCAGAGTTGGGATTGGTGGAAGAGGACTATAAAGGAGGAGAGAGACAATATGCACCAGGAACATCTAAGGGGAACATCTGAGGGAACACCTGTGCAGCCCCCGAGAGAGCCGGCCGGTGGTGTGCCGCTCCCCTGCGGAAGTGGGGAAAGTGGCAGGGGGAACCGCCCTTCCACGGAGGTGGAGGGACGGCAGCCAACCCGGGAAGAACCAGCAGCAAACCCGGGGAGGGCCGAGCAGACGAAAGAACAGCGCAGGGTCCTGTGTCGTTCCTCCGCAAAGAGGGGGAGCGACAGAAGCCGAGGGAGATCTGCCCCCTGGCCCTCCCGGCTCCTGCACACGGCCTCCACGCCCGGGCTCATGGCCTTCCCTCTGCAGCTGCAAGGCCAGCAGTGTAGCATCTGCTCACCTCTGCTGCCTCCAGCTTCGCTCCTGACTCTGTCTCCCACTTACAAATACATTTTGGATTGGATTGGCTCATTGACTAATTCAAGTTAGTGTCCCTACTTTCATGTTACCTAATTAGCAAGCTTCATTCCATCTGGTACCGTAATTCCCCCTACCATAGTCACAAGTGGTCACGAGTGGGATTAGGCTGTGGACATCTGGGGTGGAGGTGGGAGGCATGGAGGGCTCCCGGCTCTGCTACTTAGCATGAAAGTCCCTTCTGTCTGAATGCCCTGCGTGTGGTCTGGTTTAAACACTGTTATAGGTCTGCTTCCCATGCAGGTGTAACAGCCTCACGCAGATCACTTATCTTCCGAGAGCAACCAGGAACTCTTGAGAAAAACTTTCTGATTTAAGTGCATCACAGAAGTATTTAGGTAGCTGGAAATTATAATGTGAAGGCAATTTTACAGGTGTATGGAAGATGGAAAATGGAATTAAAATGTGTATTTTGGTACAAAAACATATCCATGCATTTTTTCATAATGCACATAAATCATGAACTTCTTAAAAGGCTCTTCATTGTTGTCAATGCTTTTTATACCAAAATAAGCATATCTTTTTAATTCCATATTCCACAAACCTCTTACAGTCCCATCATGTTGTAATGTTAATAGTGATGTTATTTGTAAGATCCTCAAACTGGAGAAAGCAGCACAGTGGATAAATAGATTGTATTGTATTCATAACAGAGGATACCACAGAGCAACACAAATGAATAGTGGACTGCTACACGCCAGGAAAGGCCTGACGTCTCAGATACGGCATTGCGTGAAGAAGCCAATTATATGAAGTTAAAGCCACGCGCCACTGACCTATGGTGATAGGAGGGGGGACGGTGGCGTGGCCCCTGTCGAGGGGGGGGGCGTGGGGGCACTTCCAGAACGCTAGGAGGCTTGGTTTCTTCATCAAGGTACCAGCTGAAAAATCCCTGATTTCTGTGACTTTTTTTTTTTTAGAAAAGTCCTATAGTGTTCTGATATACTTACGGCAGTGGTATTGAAATACAGATAAGTAAGTGCATGTCGGAATATTCAGGATAGGAGTAGGGAGTGAGCATTTGGACTAACAGGATGCCAGCTAAGAAGCCTGCATCTGCGTTTAAGTGTTGGCTCCGGATTCCGATTCCAATTTTCTACTAATGCAGGTGATGGCCCAAGGTGCAGGGTCCCTGCCTCCCACGTGAAAGACCTGGAGGACTGAGTTCCCAGCCGTCAGCAAATCCAGTTCTGCCCTGGCTCGGAACCAGGGTTCTGCCCTGGGTCTGGGCTTCTGAAGAGCAGGATCCAATCACAGGGATTTCACTCTGAAAATCACAAGACAGCTCCAGCCCTGGGCTGATGACAAGAACTCCAACCCAGAATGACTCTGTCTGCTCTGGGGGTAAACCGGGTTGCCTGAGCTTCATTGTGCTCTGCTTCCACAAAGTCAGTCTCTCGTAGATTCTTTGTGCTCTTAAAAGTCACACAACAACAGTTGCTTGTCCTCCGCGAGGCTAATGCAATTGTACTAATCAAGACGAATGCGGAGACTCCCTCCTTGCTGAACACACGCGGCTCCACCAACTGCAATAAACACGCAGGTCCATTAACTCACAGCCATTTCTTCTAGGAAAAAGCAAAAGGAAAACTCTAGAGGAAATTGATTTTGTCAACTGCAGCATCAGTGTTTCTCTTGAGTGCAGCTGTGTGACAACAACTAGAACTTTGTTTTGTTTCTGGTGCTGTTGCTATTAGCATCCATCATTTTTCCAGACAGCGAAACTTCCGCTTTGAGTTCTGACTTTGAATCCCAGCCCGTGAGAAGGCGCCCTGGAGGCACAATCTGAGTCTAACTGATTGGTCGCTCCTGTGAAATGCGGCAGCTGCCTCTGTGGGAGTGTCTGTTCTCACGTCTCGGACCGTGGTGGGCACGGAGGGCCTTCTGCTGGCCACACGGAGTCACAGGCAGATCTTCCGAAGGCCAGACGCCTTTCTTTGTGTCTCTGTTCCTGACTCGAGTTCATTGGGAAAGTGAGTTTTAAAAACAGGACTTTACAGACTGACTCAAAAGGAACAATCCAAGGACTTGTCAGTTCCATGCAACACGCGTTGAGCGGCTGCCTCCTGTGGCCAGGAAGTGCACTGCAGTGGCCGCGGTGAATCAGAGGCGGGCATCGCGGCACGGGACACAGAAAGGTGCAGGCTTTGCAGGACTGGGCAAGCTTTACGTGGTGAATGGTCCTGTGCACACACATGCACACACACATGCACACACATACATGTACATATACACGCACACACACACACATGCAGGCACACACAGAATGAACCAGCCAAGGCGCCACCACATCATGAGTGAGCCACTTGCCACCTTGGAATGTCCCCTTCTGAAAATGACCTTTGTTTTTCCAAAATCAAATAACAGTCTTCTCTTACGGCTCCCCAGGCAGAGACACACGCGTGTGTGTCTGCACACGCAGACTCACTGGAGTCTTCACAGACAGCAGACACACAGTGCGCACAGCAGGCACGTGTACACGCATGCACGCACATGGTCCATCAGTCACACAGAGTCACAGTGCGTTCAGGTGGCCAGTGATGAGGAAGCACTTAGGGCTGACGCCGCTCCCTGTTGTAACATGAAATTGTTTGCCTCTTTCTCTGTTTATAGCAGTTAAGAAGCAGTTGTGTTGAATCAGGAAGGATTACTTATCAAAACCAAGGTCGCATATTCTGTTTTATAAGATTTATTTATTTATTTGGAACTCAGTGTTACACAGAGAGGGAAAAGGGAGACAGAGAGGAGGAGGGGGAGGGGGAGAGGTAGAGGAAGAAGGAGAGAGAGAGGGAGGGAGGGAAGGGAGAAGGGAGGAAGGGAGGGAGAGAGGTCTTCCATCTGCTGGTTCACTCCCCAATTGGCTGATCCAAAGCCAGGAGCCAGGAGCTTCTTCCTGGTCTCCCACGCGGGTGCAGGGGCCCAAGCACTTGGGCCATCTTCTACTGCTTTCCCAGGCCACAGCAGAGAGCTGGATCAGAAGTGGAGCAGCCGGGACTAGAACTGGCGCCCATCTGGATGCTGGCACTGCAGGCCAGGGCGTTACCCCGCTGCGCCACAGCACTGGCACAGTCACATATTCTTATCTGTGTAACGTGTTTATGAACGTACCATAACTTGAAGAGTCTTCCGTCCTAAATAGACCCCATAATCTAGGTATTCTCACAGACATCATTGGGCTCTAATTGATCCTAGAGAAGTGGAGAGTAGCTGTTGTGTGGTCCTCTTTGAGGACGCCGTGGTAATGCGCCTCCAATGGAATCCTGTGGACTGAGTAGAGTGAGCAGAAACGCATTTGCTCACAAGTCTGGAGTCGCGGAGCTCAACGTGGTGGGTCCAGCTTCTGGGGCAGATCTTCCTTTTCTCTTTTTAAAAAAGAATTTATTTATTTGAAAGGCAGAGTTGAGAGAGAGAGACATATCTTCCAGCCACTGCTTTACTCCTCAAAGTGGCCACAACAGCCTGGGCTGATCCAGGCCAAAGCCAGGAGCCCAGAGCTCCATCCCTGTCTCCCACGGGGGCGCAGGGGCCCACGCACTCGGGCCATCTTCTGTTGGTTTCCCAGGTGCGTTCGCAGGGAGCTGGATCAGAAGTGGAGCAGCGGCACTAGATCTGGAGTTCTTGTGGGATGCTGGCATGAGCACTGCAGGAGACGGCTTAATCCACCGTGCCACAGCGTTGGCCCTCCACCCAGCAGATTAGCAAAGTCCAGCAAACACAGGAGCTTCTGTTAGAGACAGACAGGGGCAAGAGTCCTCTGAAACGCCACACCCCGTCCACACCTGCCCCCTGCACTGTTCCTGCCACTCCTGGTGGAGATCAGCATTGCTGTAGCTTTTTGAAGTCTGAGAGCATGACATATCCTTTCAAACAGTGCTTCAAGAGTCTCTCCCATTACAGTAAAAGCACCCTGGGTACAAAATTATCTGCACAGTAGTACTGTGACACATTTCTAGAGTATCTCAGACCTGGACGTATTCCACTGTATGTTCGTGGCAGGTGTTTTCTGCCCCTCCGTCCACGGATGGATGGCTCGCTGGTCCCTGGGTCTCGGTTACTGTGCGCAGCACAGCAGTGACTATGGGAATGGACAACCATGTTAATTAGCCAGAACTGTGATTGTGAGATTGTGATTGTGAGATTTGTGATAATCATTTCGCAGTGCACAGGAGCGTAGGACTCACAACGCACTCCTTAAATTCGTCCAGTGTCTTCCAGCAAGGTAAACTTCCTTCTCGTTCCCATTTCGTCCCAGGCCGGACTTATTCTGGACCCACGTGTCTTGGAGGTTCTGAGTTGCTTTAAGCACATATAGTGGAAAAAATGGAATTAGCTTTTAGAATGTTTCAGGTTGTCAAGGAAACAGACAAAAGCTTTCTCACTGAGCCAGGGTTCCAGCTTCTGGACAAACAGGCCTCCCAGCCGTGGCCACGAAGGGGAATTCTCTGAGGCTCTGCTGGGGTAGCAGTGGGCAGGGAGTGGGGACAGGACAAGGAGGAATGGGTCTTAGTGCCTTCAAGTCGGAGATGCTGCTGTCTCAATTTACGGTTGACACGATATTTACATCCAAGTGAAGAGCACAATAACCTGGCTGGAATTTCCAGGCCAGCATCCCAAAAGAATAGAGCCCTGCACGTTGTGAAAGCTGCCTTTTATTTGGAAAGAAGCCTTTGGAGATGGATGGAGTAAGAAGGTTCCAGGGGAAGAACACAGCTGTGAATATGTCACCGAGAGCGACAGCGGACGGGAGAAGGACCTGGCCGTGCGGTTGCTTTGCCGTGAAGCTAAGCTGGATGCCTCGTGTTTGTTTCCGCGAGACTGAAGAATTAGATTCTAGAGTCCTGCCTGTGGAGTTCTCAGGCGAACATCTGACTGTGCAACAGAGGAGCAATGTAGCTGACTCTTGGAAGTGAGTACATTTCTTTTCAAGACACTCACGTCAAAGGCATCAGTCTCTCCCACCTGATTTTAACTGACTGCCTAGCGGCATGAGCCGGGGGGTGAGTGCCACCCAGAGGAGGGCAGGTGGCAGGTGTGACATTTCCGAGGGCTCTCGGCTTGGTTTAATAACAGGTGTTTTGCTTTTGCTTATTATTTAAGTTTGACTTTTTAAAAATATATAACAAATTATCAAATTACTATCAAAAATATTTTTAAAATATTTTTTAAATATTTGTTTATTCAAAAGGCAGAGTGATGGAGAGAGAGAGAGACAGACAGACAGACAGGACTGAGCCAGGCCAAGCCAGGGCCCAGGAACTCCATCTTGATCTCCCACATGAGTAGCAGGGGCCCAAGCACTCAGGCCATCGTCTGCTGCCTCCCGTGCCTATCAGCAGGGAGCTGGGTTGGAAGCAGCAGCCGGGCTTGAGGCGCACTCTGATATGGGCTGCCTGCTGCACCACCACACCCGTCCTCAGAGCTTTCTTAAGGAGAAGCTCCCTTGCCCAAAGCATGCCCAAGGCCCCGCCTCCCTGACCCAGGCAGGAACGCACCTGGTGACCTTGCCTGCTCTTCAGCTCTGTCCTTTTCAAACCCGTCTTCCATCACCGTGCAGGTGCGCGTGCCCCCGCCCCGTTCCCTGCACCTGCCGACAGGTCTTTGCTGTCACTGGGTGATGATCACCCACATTGGGAGAAAACGGAAATGAGCTCTGACCAGTGAAGGGGTCCTTTGTCCCCTGGCTGGTGTGTGGTCTGCCCCTGACACTTGCCAAAGGGAACACGTGGGGAATTCTAAGCCAGCAAAGCGGAGTGAATTCTCCGTAAGGGAATGAGACATCGAGCTACTCCAACGCCCGGGGAAGGGCCTTTCCTGCAGCCTCTGCCCCGCTGGCAGCCGCGCCTGGGGCAGGTTTGGGAGAGTGAGCACCCCCTCGAGCCCTCCCTCTCGCAGTCTTTCCTTAGCTGGCGCCTTGCTACCTGTCTGGTGGCATCAAAGCAGTGTCCAGGTGTCCAGCCAGGCTTCCCTGGTCTGGACCTCGTGCTGCAGATGAGGGGACACTCCCCCGCCCTCCTCTTTGGTTGAACTCCTCCGTCCTTGTGCTAGAAGCCTACTGCATTGCCGTCACTGCGCCTGGCTTCTTACTGGGGTCTGTCTTATGGGCCTTTGACATGCTTTGACATGTGTGTGGCTGTATGTCCAATCGCGGGGACCGTTCCGACAGGGAGCCCAGCAGGGTGCTGTGGGGGTGGGCAGTGACAGGCCACAGAAGCAGGGAGGGAGGGAAGCAGTCAGGGGCCAAGGCAGGCCAGGGCCTCCAGAAGCTGTCCCCGGTGTCCTGTGACCAGTGTTAGCCCTGTTAAGAGGCAGGGCCCCGTGGATCTCCACGGCCCCCAGAGGCTGATACTGCATTTCTGACGCCCGTTGCCCCAAGACAACACATTTGCATTGTCCTAAGCCACTGGGTGCCGGGTGATTTGTGAGCGAAGTCCCAGGAAGCAGGAAGAACGTCACTCACGGGAGGGCGCGGCCGCCTGCACTTGGACACCCGGGCGTGCGCCCAAGGAGGTGCCGCTGCCTTCTAAACCCAGGTCGCCTGCTGCAGCGCCCGGGGGGGCCCTGCACCCTGCAGATGTTTCCCTCCCAGAATCTCTGCCCCTCCCCCTCCCGTCAGCACTGTCACCTGGTGAGGCTCACGTTCAGCCTCTGTCTCCCTACACAAGGACTGTGCCTGCCACAGCGTGTGATCTGATCTCCGCTCGCCGCGGACCACAGCCCCACCCCCCTTCCTGAGGCAAGGAAGGCGGGAGCTCCGTGTTGGGGTTGAGGAGGCAGCCGTCACCTGTTCAGGTCACAGAAACCTGAGACGTGGAACACGCAGGTGCTCTCTGATGAAGTCGTCTTGCTGCCTTCGCAGCTCCTCTCAGAACGCGCACAACTCGCCCTTCCCTGGGCAACCTCCCCTCACCGACCGCCACGCGTGGGGAAGACGCATCGCGAGGCTCTTGGGACCCAAAGCACTGACACAGAGCTTTTGCCCTTCCCGTATGCGGCCCCGTCTATCATCATGTCAGGTAGGTGGTCGGCGTTTGGGACATGGAGAGTAGCGGTCCTTCCGGGTCTTCCACGTGCAGATCCCAGGACGCGCACAGCTGTGTCACTGCGCACCTCTGCCCCATCCCCTGGGTCTCCGAGGCAGAAGCCGCTGCTCAGAAGGTCCAACACGAGGCCTGCAGGGAGGGCAGGAGGGTCTGAACCTGTTGCTGGCTGTGCAGGTGGGGCAGGGGTGAGCCGAGGAGCCCAGAACACAGACCACCTCTAGGACCCAGGCGACCCTCAGCTGACGGCCAGCGAGGGCCCGGAGCCCTCCGTTCTGTCCCAGGGTGCTGACTGCTGTCATCGAGGCAGGGGACAGAAAATGGATCCTCCCTGGGAGTCCCCAGGAAGGCACGGCCCTGCCGGCATTCTGCTTTTAGCCTGGGAGTCGAGTGACACATCTGACTTGGGTGTCTTCAGTCCCTGGGTTGGCAGTTTGCCACAGGACGCAGACCCTGGGGCGTGGTTCAGCGCCTCGCCCGTGGGCCACGCGGCGCAGATAGACGCAGGCCAGGGCTTCACATTCCAGGCACGGTGTTCCCATCGGAGGCGTTCAGAAGGCTTGGATTCAGGGCTTTGTCACAGCTGTTTGCTAACACAAAACCGAAGTTGCTGGGAATGGGATCTTTGGGTAAACCCTCCTGCCGCGGCCGACTGACCGTGCGATGAGCAGCAGCGTCCACTCGGCCGGGATGAACAGCTCCCCGGCCTCACTGTCGCCTTCTGCCATTTCCCGATGTCACTGCGACTCTTCAATAAACGCGCTGCTTCAGGACAGCGACGCAGCCAGTGTAGCTGCCGTGCCTCGCGTCGTGCCGCGGGGCTGGGTGTCTGGAAAGCATTCTTCTCTCTCTTCCTCAGCCACAGTTCTCTGAATTGCTAAATTGCTGCGATTTTTCAGGCCCAGCAGGGCGTCCAGGGCTGACTGAGCGTCTGGCATGCACTCCTGATTTCCTGTGTAATCCGCCCGCCTGCCGGTGCCCGTGTTCCCACGCTCTGTACCCGTTGTCTGGCACACGGCAGGCTACCTGGCTCCATAGAGACACCATGCACTTCTCTGGCTGGGAAAGCAATTACCTTCAGGGACAATCAAGGCCCGCTGCAGAGAGCCTGGGAGCAGGCAGTCAGGAGGGAGTCCCCCCCAAAGACCTGACACAGCCAGAGGTGCTGCTCATGCGCTCAGCTGTGGCTCCCCTCGCCGGCCCGGGGTACCCTGCCCTTTCTCGCTGACAGCAGCTCCCTCCTTCACTCCCTTCTTCCCTTCCCCTGTAATCCTACAAGCGTCCCGGCACCTTTTGACCTAAACTGGCCACACACTCACAGTGATGCCATTTGAAAACCATTGGCTGGAGCCGGCGCCGGGGCTCACTTGGCTAATCCTCTACCTGTGGCGCTGGCATCCCATATGGGCACCGGGTTTTAGTCCCAGTTGCTCCTCTGTGGGGAGCAACTGAGACTAGACTAAGTTACTGGAATTAAGACTTATTCTATGCATCTGCTCTCCCACAATATGGTGCTGGGAGAAAGAGACCAAACAACCTCTACGCAGCTGCCTCATCAGTTTGATAAGCTGCAGGAGCTGATCCTGCTCCTGATTGGAGGAGAGCAGCGTGCTCGGCATGTGGGCAGCAGAGTTGGGATTGGTGGAAGAGGACTATAAAGGAGAGAGACAACATGCACCAGGAACATCTGGGGGAACATCCTGAAGGAACATCTGAGCAGCCCCCGAGAGAGCCAGCCGGCGGTGTGCCGCTTCTCTGCGGAAGCGGGGAAAGTGGCAGGGGGAGCCGCCCCTCCACGGAGGTGGAGGGGTCGGCAGCCAACCCGGGAAGGACCAGCAGCAAACCCGGGAAGGGCCGAGCAGACGAAAGAACAGCGCAGGGTCTAGTGTCGTTCCTCCGCGAATGGGGGAGCGACACTCCTCTTCCAGGCCAGCTCTCTGCTGTGGCCCGGGAGGGCAGTGGAGGATGGCCCAAGTGCTTGGGCGCCTGCACCTGCATCAGAGACCAGGAAGAAGTACCTGATTTCTGGCTTCGGATCGGCACAGCTCTGGCTCTGGCGGCCATTTAGGGGGTGAACCAGCAGAAGGAAGACCTTTCTCTCTGTCTCTCTCTCTCTCTCACTGTCTATAACTCTACCTGTCAAAAAAATTAAAAAAAAAAAAAGCCATTGGCTTGAGCGTTGCCTCACTGAAAGATGGAAGTCCCCACAGCTGTGACTAGTGGCACCGCCAGAGCCGTCCTCTGGCCTGATGAAGAGCAGTCTCAGTTGCGTGGTGGATTTCTTGCTGGTGTGCTCAGGGCACCCTGAGGGACACTGTGTCCATTTCCTGAGCCTCCCCAGGGCAGACGCTCACTTCTGCCCCCTGCTGGCTGGGCTTGGACCCCTCACTCAAAGGCTGGGTCTCCAGCCAGTGGCCTCTGCTGCCCCGCCCAGCACTGCGATCTCGGTGCCAACCGGGGAGACCAGGGAAACCGTTCGTGAAGCTTCCAGTGGTGTTGGAGGGCCAGGGTCGCTGCTCCACACACTTTGCACGTGGTGTCCTGCCGGCTGCGCCCACGTCCCAGCCCCCCACTGTGATGCCAGCCAAGTGGACTGCAGTTTTCTGTCCCACCTTCTGTCCTCCTTAGAGTGCAGGCCTACACTCAGTAGCTCAATAATAATGTGGGCCGTGCCTTGTCCCACCCAGGTTGTGCCATGGCTCTGAGAATCTGGGCTTTCCCCCGGGGGCGGTGTCATTGTGAGTGACCCCAGGCTCTCCCTGTCTGTGAACAAATGGACTTCTGCCTCAGTGGGGGTCGTGCCTGCCTCCCAGGAGAGTCATCCTCACAGGGAGAACAGTTCCCACTCCGCACCCCTCAAATGGCTCTC